AAGAGGACAAATTGAAGCTTGAATAAACTCATATTCGGTCAGGTTAAGCTCACTGGACACAATATTGTTCTTTTGGGTTTATAGTTCATGATTGTTTCTTAATTCCAACTCTACTACATAACCGAATGTTAGAGTTTTTTCTCATCTAACTCCTTAGCAGTCAGGTTTTTTTTTCAAGGAATCCAAAAAAAAAAAAAAATTCTTGAGTTAGAAGACCATGAAACCGAGGCATGCTTGACGCAGGCCAGGGCATAAGCTGTGGTGAAGGCCGGCCTAGCAAAAGAGAAAAACTGTTGCAAATGGGTACAAGGTTGTTTGATCATTGGACTTAAATATTTTTTTGGAAAATTTAGATTTCAGTCTCTCTATATATAAATTTATTTGGAGATAAGTCCAACAAGAAAACTTATTTGATTTTAAGTCCACTTTTTGTTAAATTTACTATTGTATCCTTACCCTTTCGAAAAACAATAACCGACATCTGACTTACCGTCCTTTTCACATAGGTTAGATCATTGAAGTATATATGAAAACTCTTGATTGAGTTATATATGAAAACCGTTTATTAAATATTATGATAATTAACAAAGGTTTTATATGAAAGTTATATATTTTGATAGTTATATATGAAAGCTTGATGTATAAATAAATCGTTGGTCTATTAATTCAAAATCAGATTACAAAATTTCTTTTATAATTCAAAATTTTCTTAACATTAGTTTTACTATAGTGGTACTAATTTTACTATAGTGACATGAATGCTACTATAATGACACGAATGAATTTTTTTTGTTTAAAATACTCAATATCCAAAATAAAGAATTTCACAATTTCAAATAGTAACATAAACTCAACTCCAATTTTTACTTACACTATCAATTGCAAACCTTTAGACGTATATTATGTAATATATACATTTAAATTTTACAGTAACTTTAATGGTTTGTGCTCAGTAACACATTGACTTTTACAAAATACAAGGCAATAAGGTTTTCACAGTAACATCAATTTTCGAAAGATTATAGTGAAAATACGATTTACAAATTGAAAATTTATACAATTTTTAGTAGTAATACACCGTTAACAGTTGAATTAGACTCTCAACACCAATCAACAACATCAAGACATCGAAATTCTGAAATTTTGAAATTTATTTTTCAGTTATCACACAGTAACATGATCTATTTCACAGACACATAACCAATGTATTTTGAATGTCTTGCACAACAAAAAAAAACAACAAAATTGAATTATATAACACTTTAATTTAGTAATAATGAATCTCAATTTTTAAATTAGGGGAAAAAAATGGATAGGTTGAACTATATATTATATAGAAGTTTTTTAAAATCTTACAATGAACATCAACTTTCATGTAAAATCACATACCTTAACTTTATTTTTGAATCCCAAAGTTGTGAAGATGTTTTGAATGCAAATAATCAACTGTAACTTTGTCAATGAATTCCACAGTAAACTTGAAGAGTAAAATCAAAATTGAGGTTGGATTTGTGTTACTATTTGAAATGACGAAATTCTTCATTTTGGGTATTGAGTATTTTAAGGAAAACAATCTCATTCGTGTCACTGTCGTAACACTAATGTTAAGAAAATTTTAAATTATTAAGGAAATTTTGTGATTTGATTTTGATTTAATAGACTAACGATTTATTTGTACATTAAGCAATCATATATAACTATCAGAACATATAATTTCCATATAAAACTTCTGTTAATTATTATAATATTTAATAAACGGTTTCTATATATAACTCGATCAAAAGTTTTCATATATACTTCAATGATCTAATCTATGTGATTTTTTATAACTGGACAAAACTAATACCGTTAATGGTAATTTTAAGATTTAAAAAATAAGTGGACTTAAGTACCTACATATAAATTTAAACATGAATTTACCCTTAAATAAGTTTTCTTTTAACACTTAAGTCATTATAAGTCCATCTAGGGGGACTCACCTTCAATTTTCACATTTAAAGTAAAAATTGGGGGTAAGTTCCCCTATATGTATTTGTTTGAAGATAAGTTTAGTAAGAAAACTTATAAGAAGCTAAGTCCATGTTTAAAATTATATATATTGACTTAAGTCCACTTTTTCTTTTTATCTCAAAAATATCGTTAATAGTATTAACTTTGGTCAATTTACCATAAGTTAGATGTTTGAGATATATATGGTAACCAATTGATCAATTTTTTATGGAAACAATATATATCATAATATTATGCTTGAATTACGTTAAAATCATTAGCCTATTAATTCAATTTCAAATCATAATATTCCATTAAAAATTCAAATTCAAATTCTGAATCAAGAATAATTTGTTTGTCTGGTATTGAGAGTAACTTAATGAATTCATGTAACAAAGGGAATTTTGTAATATTCATATATTTACAAATAAATTTGAAAATAAAAAATTAAAACGGATTTTAACTGATTGCGTAAATTAAAAGGAATTTAAAACACGTTACTACACATGTTCTTTTTTTTTTTTTTGGTGTAATCAATCATGAAAGAGTTTTCAACTATTTTACAAATAAACTATACAAACAATATCTAGACATGTGGATAAATGCATTTAGCTTTTACAATCAACTTCATTTCAGCATTCTAAAATCGAATGGGGTCTATAATTTGGAACATTTTTTTGAGCATCTTATAATTTGATTTACAATTTGGATAGAATTTCCTTTATTCCACAAACATTCCATTACAATCAAATATCAACCAGCCAACAATTACAACCAAATTTCAATTCATCCATTTATCAACCAGCTAACAATTACAACAAATTTGTAACCAACCCTACAATTAGCTTTACAAAAATAGCTATGAAAAACATTAGTAAGTTCTATTTTTTTTGGTATCTCTTTCTCCTTCTTGATCTTGACTTGTAGTCTTCAATAATCTATGCATTCCTATGGTTTATGAATGTAGACACCATATCTATCCATAGAGCGTTAAGTTGAGGTGGTTTCAAATTCTTTTCTATTGGTTGTCCATGAGCAAACTGTTGCATTAAGTATTGCCATCAACCTATAAAATGACATTGAATTATCAATTACTGAACAACATATAATAACATGACACAATATCACTTAACTTAATTTATATAAAATAATTAGTAAAACTTATGTGCAAGTATAACATTAACAGTAACACCAAGGTTGTTGATGTACACATAGTAATATGATCATAGTAACATTAATTAATAAATTTTACCTCAATACCATCTTTATAGTAACATCAACCAAACACAATTCAGTAACATAATTTTTTTCATTATACAATTGATTCCATTGGAAATTCATTGAGTCCCCATGCTACAATTTTGTAGAATGACCATTATATTATACATAACATTTGTTCAAAAGCAACTTGAAATTTTTTTGAGGAAACTTGTGATATTTTGATAATTGTTATTCAGTAACTTCATTTTTCATATATTGAATAAAAAAGATTCACTCTCAATTTACATTTTAAATCAAACTACAACCCCTGAACTCTTCGTAAACAATATATGTTGCATTAAAAGTAAAAATCCTAGGATGTGATCAGTAACTTGTCAACAGTAACATCTATTTAATAGTAACATCCACAATACTCAAGGACATCAATACATTGAAATTATGAAATCAATTTATCAGTAATCATACAGTAACATGATCTATTTCATGTTACTTTGAACCAATGGATTTCAAATGTTTTGAACAACGCAGAAAGCAACAAAAAGTTTTCACATGTAATTATATAACACAGTAATTAAGTAACATTAACATGAACAGTACAACCCCCAATACTATATTGTGTTCATAGTAACATCAAATTTCGAAATATTATAGTAGAAATACAATACAATTCAAAATTTTAAAATTTAAAAAATTCCTAATCGTAAAACACTGTCAATTGTTGAATTAGGACAAACAACTCCAATCAAGAACATCAATATACTGGCATTATGAGATACATTTTAAAAAGTGCTCTCACAGTAACATGAGATATTTCATTCAAACACAAATGAATTCCGAATATATTTCAAAACTAAAAAAAAACAAATTCATAATACATATCTAATTAATATAGTACCAAGGAATCACAATTTTATTGTGGGGAAAAAAATTGTTTGACAGGTTAAACGATATAGCATGTAAATGTTGCTTTAAAATCCTCAAATAATCATCAAATAACATGTAAAATTATATACCTTTCAAATTCTCAAGAATCCCAATGTTGGTGAAAATGTTTTGAATGTCGAAAGAATAAATGTAACTTCACCAATGGAACTTGAAGAGTAAAATTGGGTTTTTCTCTTATGGTCCGTAACTCCTTTAATTTTTGAATTCAGACGGTTTGGATAATGACTGTTAAGGATTTTCGGATAAGGAAACACAAAGAGATTTGAGGATTTTTGCCTGATTTGTAGGATGGAATGAAGGGAAAGTTTCTGTGTATACAGTCGAATATGGAGGGTTTCTTCGTCTGGCATGTGATACGGCAATGTAGACAACGTTTGTTGTTTGTCAAAAAATAAGGGTATAATAGTAAACTTGACAAAAAAATGGACTTATAACTAAATAAATTTTTTTGCAAGACTTATCTTCAAATAAGTCCATTTAGGGGGACCGGCCTCCAAATTTTAATTCATGAAAATTTTAGACCTTATAAAAAGGCCCCAAAAAATTTAAATCCAATCAAAAAATTATAATTTTAATAATTTGAGTCTATATTTCAATCCATTATAATATTAAAAACTCAAAAATCAAAAATTTTAAAAATAAATAAAAAAATTCAAAAGTCAAAGTATCACATCCTCCTCTCTCTCTCTTTCAAAAAAAAAAAAATTAAAAATATTTTTTTTAAAAAAAATAATACTAAAAATAAAAAGCGTATGACAGGTTTAGCCTCAATTTACCTTCAGCCGAGAGAGAGACACGGATCACAACAGCGAGTGAGAGAGAGAGAGAGAGAGAGTGGTGTTGAAATGGCGGCGTCGTCGTGGGTTCAATCGCTGCTGAATCCATCGAAGAACTGGTTGGCCGCTCAGCACAAAAAGGCCCTCTCAACTCGCCTCCGCAAATACGGTTAGGCTTTCAGAAAATTCATGTTCCTTCTTTCTTCTCTCTTCGTTCGAGTTATCTTGTTGTGTTATCTATATACTCGTGTAATTGAATTTCTAGATTTGGGCATTTTGTTGTTAGGGTTGAGAATCGATGATCTGTACGATCCAATGGAAGATTTGGACATAAAGGAAGCTCTGAGACGCCTTCCTCGTGAAATCGTTGACGCTCGAAATCAGCGTCTCAAGCGTGCCATGGATCTCTCCATGAAGCACGAGTACCTCCCAGAAAACCTCCAGGTCCTATTTATGTCTCTCTCTCTCTCTCTCTCTATCGTATTATTCGTTCTATATGTATTTGTGATTCGTTGGTGAGAAGTTCCACATTCATACATGGAGATGGAGTTAGGATGAATCGAAGGTTGATGGTATTATGAATATCAAATTTGAGAACCAGAGTTACAATGTTGAGATAGACGTAGTAGAAATTATTTATTTTTTTGTGTGCAAAAATGATTTATCCACTAAATATTTCCATATCTAATAAATAAAGCTACTTCAGTTTCACCCATAGTTTTCTTGTTTATAAGCTCACTTTGGATTGACTTGTAAGATAAATGTGCGAGACTTGATGATTTTTTAAAGACTTATTTAACTATTGAGGTTGGTTCGATAAGTTATTAAGGGTCCGAAACTACATAAAAACATCCAGCTTCTTGAGCTTGGGTCGTGATTAGCTCTATTGGAAGCTCATATGAGACCTTAAGTTTGAGCTTGAGCTTCACATGGAGCTAATACTGGCTTGACTCTGCATTGCCTAGCTACCTATAACTATTAATTGTGGAGTTTTAATGGTAGTCCTTAAGTTAGCGAAAGGTGTTAGCCCTTTATTTAGCGAAAGGTTTTTTGTGTTATTTGTACAGGCAATGCAGACACCATTTAGGAGCTATCTTCAGGATATGCTAGCTCTGGTAAGTGTTTCTTGCGAATTGCTTTTGGTTTGTTAATCAGCTTTCCTTTTGTAAAGGCATTTACATTTTTTATTTCATACTGCTATACCACCCATTTCATAATTATGCTATTTTCCATATTTGATCAGTGTAGCATGCTTTGAAGTTTAACCGTTATAGACTGTAATGGTTATGCAGTGTGATTTAGTAGTTAGTAGTAACTGGAATGTGTCCCCTAAAGTAGAGGCCATACATGTCACTGCATTTTTCTTGATGAATTATAATTAGTTTCTGTAAAATAATTATTGCTATTTCTATATGAGCTTCACTGATTTCAGAAGCTTCCGTAATCCAATATTCATCTGTAAACCCCAACCTAAAATACTTCCTACTGTAATTCTTGTGTGTGTGTATGTGAGAGAGAGAGGATTGTGCTGAGCTCTGTGAAGGAGGTGTTATATTTTTCATAGACGAGCATCATGCGTGCACATGCAAACATGTTATGTTTGGGTTGGTTGTTCAAGAATGATTAATTTTTTCTTGCTATGATCTTACTCTTTTGGCATCTCATCATGATGACTTGAATTGCACATCTGCAATACTTTTGGTGGAGCTTTTAGGACCTTGTTATTGTTTGTCCTATGCCCTCTAAAGTCTTTTTTGGTATTGAATTTGGATGTTCTTTCTTTTTGTAGGTAAAGAAGGAGAGAGCAGAACGCGAAGCATTAGGGGCATTGCCCGTCTATCAACGCTCAATTCCATAATTTTGATAGTTTCTCTGCTGCAGCCATTTTCGATGAATTATCATATGTTAAAGCCTTCTATTTGACACATTGTTATGGCATGGCTTCCCCTTTGTCCTTAATAATTGTGAATGCATCTTGGGTAATAAAGTAATATGGCTCAAGAAAATTTAGTTTTGATATTACTAGCTGCATTATTGCTTGTCCTAAACTATACTGTGAAATTTCACTTTTTTTATCACATTATGGTTCTCTGACTTTAGATGGCAAGTAAGGGTTTCATGATTTGTTAAATGATTGGGGTGTTGATGTCACAAACTGTAAGTAACATGTTTCTGTTTTTCCTAATCTGCATCAGGCTTTCTATTGATAAATACCTATGATGAAATGCGTTCTTTCAGTTATTCTATCCCAGTGACAAGAGAACCATGGTTCTATCCCCATTGACAATAGAACTGTGGTTCTGTCACCGTGTCAAAGTATCAGTTTCTACCATTTGAACTATCTGGGCGGCGTAAATGAAACCTGAGGTTGCTATCTTTAGGCTTTTTGAGATGTAAATAACCTGCTTGTGAATTCGAGATGTGATTCCAAATTTTTTTTTTTTTTGACAGGAAGGGCTATCCTCTTTGTGCAGCACATGAACCAAAAGCCCTCAGCAGATTACTTTTGTGAGGTGGTTGTGCCAGGCAGATTGCTGTTATAGCTTCAAGCTTGAATAAATTTTTGGAACATCTAATTTCTCCCCCAACATGATGATCAATCCAAGTTGTTTGTTGATCTATGGGCTTCACAGCATCTCAGATATGGGCTTTACCTAAGTTTGAAACATGTCAGGATTAAACCCAATGGTATTGTCAAAATGTACAAGATTCTGGTGCTATAAATTTTTTTTTCTGTACCACACGAAAAATCAAAAAATAATTACTAATTTTGAATGTATAATTTTTTTTATAGTTATTGATTGTGAATATTCTAAAGTTGCATAGAATAAAACAATAAAAAATTTACTTGTGTCAAATATTCATTGGGTGAAAAAGGCTGGAGGGAAAAGTAATTTTTAAGTACCAAGTTGGACTATATATGTGTAACACCCCAAATTTCACAAAAGGCTTGAGTTGTAGAAAATCATTTATTTAAAATACCACATTGGTTTACATTAAAATTTCAAGAAATATATTTATTGGTTTAATAAAATATGGTAAAATAATTCGGTGGAGCGTTGTTTGAAAAATTGGCATCCAGAGAATTAGTAAAAATAAACCTGTGAGAGCATTTAACTACCCAATTCAACAATCACAATGCATTATTCAAACCATAAAGGCCAAAATCTTGGATCACCCAATCTAAATTCCAAAGCAATAAACTATTGTTAACCATGGTTTACATTTCAAATCCCTACTATGATAGTAAACCTTAAGTTTGGAGGCGACCAAGAGGAAAGGTCTACTATGATAGCCTGAATTTGGCTCCAGCTCCTCTGCAGTTGGTGTTCTAACGGCATACGGTGCTGTTAATAGAACGGCACTGTTTCATGTCATGGACCCACAAACAAAAAATCAGCACGAAAACGAAACCGTTTCAGCCTTGCACAGTAAAATCTAAATAAGCCTCCTTTTCAACTACTGACTCAAAATGAACTATCGTTTCTCTCTTGTGCTCATCTTTCTGCAACTTAGAATAAAAAATCCCTAAACTCAATAATCTTCTAAAGCTGCAAATTGTTTTCTATGAAAGATTCAGACCTCTGCTAGGGATGGAAGGATCCTACAGCTGTGGGATCTGTTGTGATTTGTATCTTTTTGGTTAAACTGAGAGTTTTCTGTTGGTCTGTGTTGTTTTGATAGGAGATTGATTAGTTGTTGGTACAGCAGATGAGATGGTGGGTTTTCATAGCTGGAGAAGTGCGAGGGATAATAAAGTAAGTGCCTGCCAGTCGGCAAAGGGCAAGGCTTGCTACTGGCAGTCGGCAAGCTCCAAGGCTGGCTACTGGCAGTCGACAAGAGGCTCGTCTGGTCACTGCCAACTGACAAGTTGTTTGGGCAGGTCCTCACTTGTCCGCACTTGATACCCAAAATCCCTCGTGCATGCTCGTTTCTTTTAGTCGAGTCCTACTTGACTAAAATACAACCTAGGACCTAGAATTCTAGTCTAATGTCACTCCGAATACGTAAGAGTTGGCAATGAGTCACCAAGAAATTAGAGTCAAAATAAAATACTACTTCGAGCAACTAGATGTTGGTGAAAATGACCGAGGATCAAGAGTCTTAATTTAATTATATTCCGTATTACAGGACCTAGTGACTGGGTTGAGCCAATCAACTTAGAGTTTGAATTCCTTTAAACACATTTTCTTATTATTATAAATAAAGGTCCTAGGCACCATGTAAGACATTCGATCTTTGCCTATTTAATCTATATTTTTCTTTGACTTGAGATTTAATTTAAGCATCAAAATTACTTTGATCGCCTTCAGCCATCAGTCCCAAGGCTTAGTCACTGGGCCTCCTCCGGCCATCAATCCCAAAGCTTACTCACTATCTTCTTAGTACGCGATGGTTATTCTTTATGTGGATTTATTCCCGAACAAGAAGTAGAGTAAAAAGGCAAAATAGAGTACCTGTTGGCAAGACAAGCAGGAAAATGTTTAGATTGTTCGTATCTAAGCATTTTTTTCCTGTTTAGACATTAAATCTCAACTTAGGTTGATAGATGACTATTATCATGTCTATCTGTGATCAAGTTTAAAGAAGTTTTTCCATTTGTTTTGCCCTTTTTTTGTATTCCCGTTGCAATAAATATTCTCTACCCTCCAACAGGATAAAATTAAAAGAAACAAAAGGTGCGTTTGGTTTACGTTTTAAAAAAAAGTATCCAAAAATAATTTTTGAGAAGAGTTTTAAGAAAGTGATTATGATATTTTTTGAGATAAAAAACTTGTTTGGTTAGATAATTTCAAAAACAATTTTACAATATAGAAAATAATAAAACATGTTTGGATACACTTGTTTTACAAGCTACAAGCTACACTTGTTTTATGTTTTTTTGACTCAAATCTCATTTTTTTTTTCTAAAATTTAGAGAATAAAAATACTAAACAAACAGGTTTTAGGTGTTTTTAAAATTTTAAGAACAAAAAACTGTTTCCGAGATAATAAGCAAACATGACCAAAAATTTTAGAACATTTTGGAGGATAAACTGTCGTTAGTTCTTTTCTTTTAGGAATTAGGTAGAAGAAGGGCAGTTTCGCCCAAAAGGAAAATCTGTACACGCAAACCCTATAACCAGAATGGACGGGAAAAGAGGAGGACGAAAAGTGCAAGTCAGACATGTCACCGCCACGTGCAAATCTTATCCATTTCGATTAATTACACTTTGACCCTCTTAGCTATGAAAATTCATCTCATTTTCTCACTTAAAATATTAAATTTCTCATACTTCTCCTTTAATTATTAAATTATTTTCATATTATCCCAAATGCAAACATCTATGGTTAAAATCAACAGCATAAAATGACACAAAATTACATAAATTAGAAGAAAAGGTGAAATAAATTTTCATCAAATTTCTAATGAACATTAATCATCGGGACAGTCTAAAACTATTAAGTATAGTTAAATGTACAATGTAAGAAATATGATAGTTAAGAAAAAAAAATAATACAAACCTTATAAGTTGGAGGGACAAAGTGTAATTCAGCCTATCCATTTCATCCCTTTAAAAGTCCTCCAGACCCAAACTTTTTTTATCCAAACTAAAAGAACTAAATTCTCTCTCTCTGTCTCTCTCTCTCACAACCTAAATCCTGTTTTCTCCCTTCAAAAACTCCACCTCTATACCCATAAATCTGTATCTATATTTACATTTACCCAAAGAATATGATGGCAATGAGTATGTCACCTTTCCGATCAGTCGTAGTGACAGCGTGTACAACCTCCGGTCACCGGAAACCTGACACATATCGCCGGAATAGTTCTTCTTCTAACTGGTGGACCCCACTCTTCGCCTGGTCCTCCGAACCCGACTACATTGACTCCGGGAAAAACGGTGACAACAATTCAGACTCGGATCTGGAACCCAAACCGTCTCGATCTCGGTTCGTCCCGGGTCGTTTCACCGAAGAGAAGGCCAGACAGCTCCGGATGATGACCATGGGCACGTCGTCGTTTCACGACGTTATGTATCACTCCGCGATCGCGTCGAGACTCGCCTCCGACTTCTCCGAGCGGTCCGATCGGTAATTTCCGGCGTCGACATCGTAATCTCTCTTTCTCTCACTGCAATTTTTTTCTCAGATTTGCTCCAGAAATTCACAAATTGAAGACTTTGCTGATGTATAGGATGTAATGGGTGAAGGTTATGTGGAAGAGAGATCTACACTCATTCGAGCCCTACTTCCTTTCAGTTCCATCAACCGTTGGATTCATGTGGATGATCTCATATGATGAAATTGAAGAAAATTAGTGTGCAAGGGATCCGATCTGTGGATCAAATAGATAATCATGTGTTTGATTAATTAATTGCTTAATGTGTGTATATTTTCAGAAAGTTTGTGTGCGCGTATGTATTTATGATATATGTATATGTGTAAAGATTTGATTTGTGGTTTAAAAATGATAATTAGTTGAAGGAACGAAGTAGTGTCTTCATTAACAACAGCATTTTTGGTGTAATAGTAACCCATTTCATCCGACATAAATGGGTTTATCTTCGCATGCATCCTTTTGGATGAAGACCCGGTGTACCCGTTTCCATGGTTGTTATGAATGGATCGGGTCAAGCTTTTGATTGAGCTAATTTTGAGCATGACAACCAATAATTGTGATACAAGTTGATGAGGCCGAAATTAACTAGGTCTAAAAGGAGCCCAATCTGAGTTAGATAAACCCACAGGAGACGGATCAAATCACCAAGAATGGACCAGCGCTAAAATGAATCAAGAGGCCAACACCCACGATAAGGGGGCGCTGCCCAAAGCCTTAAAGGCATCGCCTAAGGGTCCTCAAAGGGGTGCCGCCCATAAGTCTCCCAAGGGACGCCACCCATGGGTTGGCTCCCTAGCTCTTCTTCGTCCTCTGCTTTTTCCTCTGCAGTGCATCATTGGAATTATTTCGACACAAGTCCAGTTCATTCCAACTCAAAGCTCAGGCTTAGGATGAAACTCAATCCAACTCAGAATTATCTTCTGACGGAATAGGAACACAAGGGAAAGACTATCGGGATACGGAGATCTAATTCTACCAAAATTGTACTTACTAAAATGGTAGAAACCTTTTTTCTCACGTCACCGCCTTAGTGAACCTATTAATGTAAGCCCTCAACACATAGAGGACATGACCTTAAGACCTCTACAAGATCCCAACACACACTACACCTCCATATACACATTGCTTCTCTCTCCTCACCATTGTAATACTCCTGGAGCATATTCTCCCGGAGATTCTATTCATCAATAAAACATCCAGATACCGCTACCATTCCCGAGAGTGGAGTAGGTCACCCAAACCGAATTACTATAAATTTGTGTGTTTTGCTCTTATTTACTGTTTTGTCATTGATTGCCCATTTATTGCTCATTAACTGCATTTTACACATTCTTGACAATTGATTTTGTGCAAAGCCAATTTGTGCATCATCAGTTTGGTGTCGTCTGTGAGAACCGACTAGTTTCCTACTCTAATTCAATCCATGACAATCACTATCAGATTAATGAGCCAGTAACTGGGAGACAATAACTCAGCCCACCGGGAGGAAGTTTCGCCTCCACTCGCACCCTCTGAACCATTTGCAACTGCGACTCCCGCCGACGGGCAATAACAATTCTTACAGACTATGCAACTGCTGGTAAAATAAAACTAGCAGATCATTCAGTTGATGCTCGCCTAGGGAGGCGTCGCCCCTCACCCTGTAGGAGGTGTCTCACTCTCTCTAACAGGAGAGGAGCAGCAAGCCATCCTTTCTGGGCGCCGGGCAGCCCCTCACCATGGGGCCTCTCACTAGAATGCCCTAAGACCACATCAGGGCGCCCCTCGCCCATCACTCCCTCCTCAGCGCGCAGGGAGCTCAAGTGTTCCCCCTCTACATGTACCTGCGCTGGAGAACGAAAATGAAGAAAGCCAATATAGTGACCATGAAAGTCAGTATCACCACCCGACTGAGGATGTCCTTAATCAATGGAACGGGAAGATCAGAGAAATGCAAAATCAAGTTGGTGATGCCTTCAACGCCATCAGGGCACAGGCGCTCGAGACAATAGACTACCTGGTAAGACGTACTGATATGCCTTTCGTTGCTGATATAGTTAATTATCCCTTGCCCTCGAAGTTCAAGATGCCTGCCATCTAGATCTTCGATGGTACCAAAGACCCCCTCGACCACCTGGACACTTACAAATCCCTCATGCAACTCCAGAACATGCCTGAGGAGATTATGTGTAGAGTCTTCCCTACCACCCTTAAAGGGTCCGCATGCCAATTGTTTGCAAAAATCAAGCCCTTTTCAATTCACTCATTCGTGGAGTTGAGTACATCCTTCGTCTTCCACTTTATTGGGGGGCGCTGACATCAGAAACTAGTGACCAATCTGCTCACCATCAAGTAGGACAGAGATGAGAGCCTTAGGGAGTACCTCACCCGCTTCAACGGGGAGGTTCTCCAGATTGAGGAACCAGATGATAAGGTAACTCTGGTCGCCTTTATCGTCGGTCTTCGCACTTCCAATTTTATGTTCTTCGTCTTCAAGAAGCCGTCATCCAACATGCCCGAGTTGCTATCAAGGGCACAAAAATACATGAACACTGAGGACGTTACCAAGGCTCGCAGGGGTGAGTCCTCCCAAGGAGGAGACAAAAGGAAGGACACCTACGAAGACAAGTGGGAGGCGAAAAACAAGAGAAAGAGAATCGAAAGAGTCTCTATCAAGGATCGTCTCGGTCAATATCCCCCGAGAGAACGACAACCTTTCACGCCAATCAACGCCTCAGTAGAGCACATCCTATTCCAGATACAAAATGACCTCACGTTCCGCTGATCCGAAAAAATGAAGTCTGCCCCAAACCGCAAAAATCACAGCAGGTACTGTCACTTCCACCACGACAATACGTTGTTGGCAGAGGACAAGTCCCGCCACCTGGCCGAGACTAGGACGACAGAGAACGCTAGCAAACCCTTGGAGAAATTCAAACAATCTCCTAAAGGCTAGGAGAAGGAGGCGACTCCAACTCTGCCAGGGAAACATTGGCCCATCTATGGGACACCAAACACCTGAAAATTTTATCTTTCTTTTATTGTTTTAGTTTATTTATTTTGTTATTCATTATTTTATGAAATAAATTTTTGCAAAGATTATTGTGTTCATAACTGTCTTGTTTTCATTTCAAACAGCCTACAACCTAACAACAACAAGGTAAACAAAAAAGACAAAAGACGCCTAGCACCCGGCGCCCAACACCTCAGGTGCCTAGCACCAGGCGCCCAGCTCGTCAGCGCCCTTTCCATCTTCATCTCAATGGAATGAGTCTCTGCCACATCAGCCCTCTTCCGAGCTATATGTAGCTCTAGCTCTGCTCCTAAGCAGTTTATGTATCCAGCTTCGCGGTCTCTTGTGAGTTGCCAAAAAGCTTGGCCTAATCTTACCTGTTCTGCGGCATCCTCTCGTGCCTACCGTCTGAGCCTTACTGCTCCGTGGCATCCTCTCCTGCCTGTCGCTCGAGCCCCAATTGCTCTTCAGTAGCCTTGCATGCCTGCCTCTCCACTATATGACTATCTAATGCCTCTCTGATCTTCAACGTACTCAAAAACAAGTAGAGAAAAGTAACAGCCGCTTATAGGCATTCAAAGGTAGAGTGTAAAGGAGAAAGGTCAGGTACAAAACCCAAAAAAAGAATGCAGGATATACCAAATCAAAACCCTCCATGGCAATGTCAACAATGCCCTCCAAGTCTCGAGAGGCAACCTCCTCTATCCCCAGGAGTCACAGACCTCTAAAGCCACTCCTTGACCGAAGTCAAGTCAAAGCATGCGCACCGAGCCAGGTGGAGCTACAGTCCCCATGGGAGGCGGCATCAGAATCTCAACTCTTACAGAGGTACAAGGGCCAGCTCTAGTACACACAGAAGTCACAATTTGGGAAGGAGTGGGGTCACTACCGGATCTCGTTCTTGGGAAGCAACCTGACCATCGGACCTTGACCAAGAAGCACTAGGGGCATCAAACGTCACCCTCCTAGGAAGAGAGGAAGAAACCACTCTAAAAGCACCTGAGAGGCGTCGCTCATAGCAAGATTCCAGGCGTCGCCCAAACACATTAGCACACAAGGCCTCTTGGTGTCACCCAAGGTGTCCTGCCAACCTCTTGGCATCACCCAATGTGCCTGCCCAGCCTCCTGGCGTTGCCCAAGGCGCCTGCCCAGTCTTATGTCGTCGTTCAAAGCACTGACACCTCCCTCCACTAAAGCCTCCTTGCTCGTACCCAATCGAGCGCCAAGAATTTTAAAGGACCTTTCGCCTCTTGCCGGAACTTCACAAAGACCGAGGAGTACCCAAGTGACCAAGGCCTAAAGGAGGATCATCCAAGTCCTTGGCCCCGCCCAAGGAGGCGCTACCCAAGGCATGGGCGTCACCTATGAGGGCCCCAGTGCCTCTCCTTTTCTCTGTTCTTTACCAAAGCCATGAACTCCTCTGCCTGCATTATGCCCAGCGCCACCCGAGGCATGGGCGTCGCCCCTAATCATCTCCTCTCTACTCCTCTATTCCAAGGTCCAAGACTTAGGCGCCATCAACAAATGAACAAAGGGCGTCACGTGCAAAAGTAGAGGCACGAGAGTCACTCTTTGAATAAGCACCACCATGGGCGCCGCCCACCGTGTCACCCTCATGGGCGTCGCCTATGAGATCAAGGCCACGAGCTCTTCTTTGCTCCACCCCATGATTTTTTTAGCTCCTAGTCTGCATTGCCTCAGTTTGATTTGGAAGAAAAAGATTAGAGGAAAAGACTAAGGAGAAATGGTGATGAACAACAAAAAATAGTGATGAATAGTGAAAAGTGATAATGAACAGTGAAAAATGGTGTTGAATAGTGAGAAAGGGTATTGAATAGTGAAAAGTGGTGATGAACAGTAAAAAATGGTGTTAAATAGTGAGAAAAGGTGTTGAATAGTGAAAAGTGGTGATGAATAGTAAAAAATAGTGTTGAATAGTGAGAAAGGGTGTTGAATAGTGAAAAGTGGTGATGAACAGTAAAAAATGATGTTGAATAGTGAGAAAAAGTGTTGAATAGTGAAAAGTGGTGATGAATAGTAAAAAATGGTGTTGCATAGTGAGATATGGTGTTGAACAGTGATCTCCATTTATAGACAAAGAAGCAGTGCAAAAAAAAAAAAAAATTGATATCAAAAAATTCAGCGAGTCCCTGAGGATGAAAAGATACTATGGAAAGTAAGAAAAATTCTGACTAATCCAGATGAATATGAAGTACATGCCCACAGCCCCTTCTTCTTGCAAAAAGGTCAGAGGCTTGAGGCATGGAGGAAAAATGATGAACTCGAAATTAACTAGGCTCAAAGAGGAGCCCAATCTGAGCTAGGTCAACCCATAGAAAGATGACCAAATCACTAAGAAGGGACTAGCGCCCAAATGAATCAAGAGGCCAGCACCTAGGATAATGGGGCGCCGCCCAAAGCCTTAGGGGCACCGCCTAAGGGTCCTCAATGGGGCGCCGCCCAAAGGTCTCCCAAGGGGCGTCGCCCATGGGCTGACTCCCCACCTCTTCTTCGTCCTCTGTTTTCTCCTTCGTAGTGCATCATCGGAATTACTTCGACTTAAGTCCAGTTAACTCCAACTCAAAGCCCAAGCTCAGGATGAAGCTCAATCCAACTTAGGATCATTCTCCGACGGAATAAAAACACAAGGGAGAGACTATTGGGAGACAGAGATCTATTTCTATCAAAATTCTACGTACCAAAATGGTAAAAACCACTTTTCTCACGTCACCGCCTTAGTGAACCTATATAATGTAAGCCCTCAACACATAGAGGGCATGACCTTAAGACCTCTACAAGATCCCTACACACATTACACCTCCATACATACATTGTTTCTCTCTCCTCACTATTGTAATACTCCCGGAGCATACTCTCCTGGAAATTCTATTCATCAATAAAACATTCTAGGCCACCGCTGTTGTTCCCGAGAGTAGAGTAAGTCACCCGAACCGAACCACTATAAATCTATGTGTTTTGTCCTTATTTACTATTTTGTCATTTGATTGCCTATTTATTGCTCATTAATTGCATCTTTACACATTCCTGACTATTAATTTTATGCAAAGCCAATTTGTGCATCATCACATGTAATTGTGTCTTTTTAAGATGGTTAAAAAAGGTTGTACCAAATGCATAATATTTTCGTCTATTGTGAGGTTTGAGATACATAAATGGTACCCAATCTTACTTTTAAAACGACCCATTCTTGGACTCCTTTAATGTATCACTTCAATAGTTGAGCACTTATCATCGATCTAAATCCCATCTTTTCTTTGATGAGTGGTTCTAGATGCTAATCTACATGGGGGTGGCATTTTTGTTGGGGGATGGGATGGAGGTGCAGGTGGTGAGAAAATTACCTATCAACTTGATCAATGGTATTTCAAGATTCTGTCTAGGATACAAGGAAATTTCCAATCTTTTTAGAAGCGCAAACAAATTTCGGGTATCTATTCTGTCTATGATATATAGGAAATTTTTGTTGTGTAGCAAGATTTTTTGGCCCGATTGATTTTTCTATAATGACAAGAAGCCCATTGGATTCTCCGTAGGGTGGAATACTAGAGAGTTTGTGCATATTGAATACAGATGATGCAGTCCACAAAAACCCAGACCCTCTAGGAGCAGAGGACTATTTGTGCTGAATGTAAGATCAAGGTCTTTGGACAGTAGTATTTTAGGGAAAGCTTAATCAAACAACAGGCATCAAGGCTGAATTGAGGGCACTCCTGAAGTTGATCAAAGACAAAGGCTTACGCAGTGAGGTGGTCGACACAAATTCATATGAAGCATATGTTCTACTTACTCAACCACAAGAAGAGAATCACCCAAGCAGAGCTCTAATTGAAAAATCGTATCAAAAATATTAGAAGCGAGCAACAACCAAGTCTAACTTGTCTTGCGTGAAGGAAATCAATGTGCGGATGGCCTTGAAAATTCAGGAGAACAGCCATTAGAAAAACTAGTTAAACTAGACAAGCCTCTGGTGGAAATCTGGGCAATTACTTCAGGCTGATCTAGTTATCACTGTTTTTGTTGGGAAGCCTTAATGGTTCTAGCTCAATTTTCCATTGTACTTAATAAAAAAAAAAAAAAAAACCATGGACCTATCTTCAATGGCAAAAACAAAGAGCAGAACAGGAGGGTTAGGGCTAAGTGGTGCAGGTTAACACACAAGCCAAGACCTTGACATTTATATGAAAAGGCCAGCCTTTAATAAGGTTTATTTGAATAGCACCAAAAAAAAAAAAAAAAAAAAGATCAGAGGCTAGTAATATTTTCCAGGAGGTCCCAGCTTCAGATACCCCTTTCCCATTCTTCCGCAAAAGGAAGATTTCAAGTCTAAAAAGTATCTGGCAATACGGGCTACTTCATTAAACAAACAAATCAAGCAGACAAAAAAGTTTTCTCACAACTAAGGTCTAAACTCAACAATAGCAGCTTACTCAATGATTATTACTTCATTAATTTAAGATTAAAATAACAGGACACACTTATCAATCGACACCAAAATTAATGCTAAAAATGTAAAACCAAATATGTCAATGAGTATTTATTCTGCAACCAGAGTATCAAGCTGCAAGTGATCCACAAACAGGTGACGTTGCAAATTGCAAGCACAGGTGTGCTCTGGAGTTCACTTGCTCTCAATGTCATATAGGTCTGTTCTGAATATGTCTATCAAGGATAAACAATAGAAAACTAGCAAAATAATGAAAGCATATGTTTATCAATGATTTTAAACTTCAAAGTGTTCACGAACACATTGATAAAAGTATAATTTCCGTTCCTGTCTTTGGGTCACCCTCTTTATTTTTCACGAGGGAGGGGAGAAATTTCTCATTATAATGGTATAATAAGTTACCCATAAAGCCATCATACTTGATTGTAATCTTACTCACGCTATACAAAGCAACAAAAAAAAAAAATATTTCTCTCCTCAGGCAGAAATCTTTCTCGTTCTCCACACTTGCTAAGGCCAAGGTCATGTGATGAGGGAATACGAATTATCCAAAAGGTGGGCTTAAAATGGCGCTGTTACCATCTACCAAATGAAATGCAAGGAATATCCTACAAGGGTGTGAATCTCTTCCGCCGACTTTGCATTATCACTTAAAGGAGAAACCTAAAGAGTAAAAATAAACCCACGTGGTCAATTCCAACATGGTGAGGTAAAGGGTCTAAATAGACCCAAGTGTTATTGAATAAAGCAGCAGTTTCAAACAAAGTCTTCCTTGTGGTCTTAATTTTCCCCCGAACAGTGCCAAATTTTATATAGTCCAAATATACCAAAAGCCAGTCTAAATATGCTAACTTATGGATCTAATCAGATCATAGGATGATCTTATAGATGAGATCACCATATATGGGAACAATGTAGCAACAAATTGTTTGCCATGCCCACCTAAGTACCCCTCTTGAGCACTTAGGCATGAACTATCCAAAACCTGTTATTTCCCATCAGGAAAATCCAGAAGACTTGTATAGCTACAGCTAGACATCAACCACCTTCTTGTTATCCAAAGTCCTATGTCATCAACTTACGGTGTGCTTCTTGGTAAGAGAATCATAATTTCCCAAATCTTTTGAGAACAATATCAAACATACAATCAAAATCAACAAAAGCTAGATGCTCAAAGCCTCAAACATCATCTAGTCTAGAACACTTCAGAAGTGAGAAACCTAGAAACACAAGGCCAGACTGACCCAGCCACCAGAGGAACTTTATCAAAATGAACTCAAAAGAAGGATGGAAGTTGACAGTTCCATTGCATAAAAAATGAACTACTATGGGGAACAAGCCAAACAAGATTTTCAATCAATCAATGATCAGAAAACCCCCTGAAATAAATTCCTCCTACAGATCATACTCCACTGGGAAATGAAAAGATAGCTGAATAGAGAAAAGCTTCAAACTTGAGGTGCAACCACAATACCCATCCTAATAACCGGAAGATTTATCATGACCAACAGGGCAATTGACACACCTTCTCCTGCAGTCTTGCCTACCTGCACAAGCTTGTGTTTTCTACCACATTCATCGCATGTCACAACTATTTTCATTTCCAGCACAACAATTAAGTGAGAAATTCGACTTTTACTAAAGCTAGGAAAGACAAATATAAGATATGGGGCGTATGACCAGGAAATCAGGAGACCTGAATAAGGGACACATCATGGGTGGAGTCAATATGTAAATATTTTGGAAATCAATGGAAAGTAGATGACATCACTAAGCTTCACGTACTTCTGTTTTTTGTTTCAAATCTAGATCCTTAAATATGCCATTGTGAGCATGAAAAGCACTATCTTAAATAAAAGCAATCAGTACGCATCATAGGAAACAGTCAAGCATGAAGAAGGGGCAAAAGAAATATAATAGATAAAGATAAAGATCAACATAGACCCTAATATTCGGTATATGGGATAATGGGCCAACATACAATCAATTAGATGACAAAGAGGGACAGGAATAACATTTAGCCATGTTTATTATCATGTTGTAACACTTTCTGGATCTAAAGGAGGGGAAGTCTAAAGCCATTTTTCCAACACAAACCTTTTAGAGATTCTCCATCTGCACTTGAAATGTATGCAATTTTCATTCCTTGCATTCAACAATGAAACTCTTACCTCTACATTTCTGACTACGGTCACTCTTGGTCTATATAAATCAGACCGTGTCAGATATTAACTGCAACAAAAGTCACTGCATATACAAATTTTGTACCTAATATTAAATTAACACAGTATTCAATTTCCATTGCAACAAAATGCAATGAATAGACAAATTTTGTAACTAAAACTGAAAACATAGCACCCAATTTTCATAAATCAATTGAACAGCTGAGAACAGCTACAATAGTCCCACTATCAAATTTCAGCAAATCACCAAATCATGCTATAAAAAGATAAACATGACTAAATATAATCAAGTATATATAAGTTAAATAAGCAGTGATGAATCGCCTATAAATGTTGAAAGAAAATAGGTAAAGGATACACCAAGTAAAACCCATGAGCAAAAGCCCCAGCCAACACAGCAGTGAACAAACGATCCCTCAAAACCGGTTTATGTCGAAGCGAAAGTCGAACTATTAAACAAAACACACCCAATTTGAATATCAAACAGACAAAACCCATGTAGACAAACATCACATTAATCAATAAAACCACGATCAAACAATATAATTACAGGAACAAAAAAGGAGAATTCTTTTGGAAAGGAAAAGAAACTTACTGAGGGGAAGAACAGGGGCATAAATTAGCGGAATCAAGAACTTGAATTGACGCCCCATGTTTGGTTTTCTGACGACAGCTTCTCTTCAACAACAAATAAACTCATACATTCAGTTCACAAAAAACAAAGAGAACAAATACATGTGATTGTGCGTGTGGGTGTGTATCTATGCATGTACTGACAGAACTTACTGGTTGGAGGAATCCGAAGGCGAGGCCATTGCGATCCGGCTGAAAGTTTCAGCAAGTAGGTGGATGATACTATGGGTAATTGAGGTGGGCGGCGATAGCAGTGATTTAGGTTTGTGTTTTTGACCAATACAGTTTTTTCTACACTTTGTTATATGTTTTGCTGGCTGAATTGTCAAGGGTAAATTACAGTTTTTTCTACACTTTATTTTATCTTTCGCTGGCAGAATTGCTAAGGGTAAATTATACCTAGACCATGAGGTTGACGAGTAATTGACGGATAAAACAGAACTAATTAAAAGACCTAAATCTAAGGCCGAGTGTAAGGGTGTCTATGGGCCGGGATACTCACGGCTGTTACCCGGCCCGAAATTTGATAGGTATGATAGTTGGCCCGTCCGAGCCCCAGCTCAATATCCTTAAAAATATGGCTTGAGTTTGCTCTCAAACTCATTACCCAACCCAAGAGCTTGCCCGTCAAGCCAGCCCGCCCGCAAGCCCGGTCTAACCTACCATTCATTTGAAAAAAGTTAAACTTATAGACCATTAAATTTGAAATTTTGAAATAAGTCTTTCAATATTAAAATTTGAAATTTTAAAAATTTAAATATTATAAATAATATATTATTTTTTTTCCATGTATTAAGCATATAAGTTTTAAATGGTAGAGTAATACAAATGACAAATAAGTTAGTGGGTATCAACCTAGTTGAGATTTATTCATTCTATTAGATATAGTTCATTATTTTATTTTTATCCATTTGGACTTTACTTTTGATTCAACAATATAATTTACACAAATATTAAGTTACGAAAATATTCATTATTTTTAAATAAAGATGTATATAAAAAATCCCACAAACAGGCCCGCCCAATAGGCTTACGGGTTGGGTTGCAGGTAGCCTACACCTACCCGAAGCCCGTCCTAGCCCGCCCGATAACTTACTTAAATAAGGGTTTGGGCTTACATTACCCAGACTTGACCCGAAAAAAAATTTCATTGACCTAGCCCGGCCCCGCCCATGGACACCTCTAGCCGAGTGTATAATTATTCCCACTTTTTAGTCGTTTCCTAGTGTATGTCGCGCGCCTTGAGAGTCAATTCATAGCGTTTGTTCTCCCCCAGATGAAGAAAGCTTGGGCCATCTGAAGATCCTTGGCATTTGACGATGGATACAACTCCAGCTGCCTATCGAGTTTGTTCTCCTCTAAGTGGTGAAAGGTACACATTTCGATTAAGATTTTCTTAGGAAAAACTACAGTTTCTTCAAACAAATTAGGTTTTTTTTCCCTTTTTTGTTAGTGTAGTATACACCATAAGTAGATAAGAGAACATTCTAGCTTATAGTTTTTAGGGTTTTTTTGATGAAATCCAATCATTGTAGATGTCATAATAAAACCTAGATTTTGTGGTTCTCATCCAATTTTTGTTTATTTTTCGGTTTTTTTGAGTAAACTCTATTGATTAGTATTTGAGTTTTTGAGAAATCTATATTGCATAGGTTTCAATTTTTTTGAAAATTGTATACTAATTAGCACTTCTATCTAGAAAAAAATTGTTTTTTTGTTTTGGGTTTTGGTTTTACTAATTAGGAATCTATATTGATAAGGGCTTTGTTAAAGCATATCAATCATTTTTTTTATGTTATGAAAATATCTGTATTGATCAGACGTGAGTTGCTCTACGTGGTTTTTTTTTTTTTGAAATATCTACTGTCATTAGAATTGTTGTTCTTAAGGGTTTTTTTTTTGAAATATTTGTTCTATTTCATCCCCTATTTTTGGTTTCCTTATTCCACTATTTGTTTATAATTTGACAAACTGTTTCATGAAATTTTTGTCTTGATTTGTTTGATTGTAGGATGGCCAATGTTTGCTACCATGACCTCATTGTGCATTACTTAGCAGATCAATTTTTTGTGAAGAATATTGACTCTGAGAAGTATTTTTATTTGAACTTGTTAAGTGATATGTGTGATGTGGCTTTAAAAGATGTTCCCTCCGCCATAAGCACTTTTATAACATTGACTTGTTCTATCCCTGGGACTACTCAAGAAATGGGTATAAGAACTGATGCAAATGTCCTTGATATGTTCAAGTTACATAACAAGTGTGTAGTGATTCAGTTGTATACCAAAGATGTTCAGTTTCAACGATCATTAGTTGTGCAAGTTCCTAATCTTCAACCCTCTAGGAATGAAGGAAGTAATGGTCATGAGGACGAAGTTAGGGTTGAGGAGTTACAATTTAGTGATGATGATGGGTGGTGTGTGCACACTGAAAGTGATATTAGTTTGTGTGATGTAGAGTTAGAGGATATTGAGAGAGATACATATGATGTAGTTGATGGTGGACCATTGTCAGACCATGAGTCAAATAGTGACGGTGGGCAGCATGTAGATTCTGACGATGAGCTTGAGGATGACCCATTGGATGCTTCACTTTGTGGTAAAATATTCAATGTCAAGGAAGGTGAAAAAAATTGAATTTGAGGCAGAAATGTTATTTCCAAACATTAATGCATTTAGAGATGCCTTGAAAGAGTGTGATTCAAGGGGGATTCCCATTGGTCAGAGATAAAAATGAAAAGAAAAGGGTAACAACATACTATGGTGTTGAGGGATGCCCTTGGAGGATACATGCTTCTCTTTTACCTAATATGCTTACCTACAAGATAAAGACATATAACTTTATCCATAGCAGTGTTAGGAATACCAAATCCAAGGAAACAAATGCTCCATGGATTTCCAAAAAACTAGAGAATATGTTGAAGGCTAATCCTAACACGACAATTTCAGGAATGATGGAAGAGTTGAAAAAGTATGGAGTGCAACCTCCTAGGATGAAATTGTATAGGGCAAGAAAGAAAGTTCTAGAATTGATTCATGGTAACCATGGCGATTCGTATGGAAGGCTGCCTGCATATGGTCATTTGGTGAATCAAACAAACCCGAGTAGCATTGTGAAGATCTATTACCAGTTGGATAACTTGGCAAGTTCTCCATCTTCCAAGAGAATCTTAGGATTCTTTGCTCTTAGGCAAGGTTTCATAAGTGGGTGTAGGGCTTTCTTAGGTTTTGATGGATGCCACTTGAAAGGGCCTTATGGAGGTGTGCTTTTGTCAGCGGTTCGACTAGATGGAAACAATGGTTTGTTTCTAGTTGTATTTTCTGTTGTGGAAGCAGAGACAAAGGATAGTTGGTGTTTTTTCTTTGAGTGGCTCAGTGAAATGTTATATGGGTTCCAAGAGGTTAAGTCATGGAACTTCATGACTGATAAACGTAAGGTATTTTTTTTAATACTTCTTTCTGTAGTTTAATATGTACTTATTATTCCCTAATACTTTAAAATGCTTTTGCATGTAGGGTTGCAAGGAGGCAATTAATCAAATTATGTTGTATGCCTTCTTTAGACGCTGTTGTAGGCACATTTATAATAATTTTGGGGCTTCCTTCTCTGGGATACTTTTGAGGAGCTTATTCTGGAAGGCTGCAAGGGCATACACTCAACAAGACTTCAATTATGCATGGAGAAAATTAAGGGAGTGAAGCCTGAAGCATTTGCATGGCTTCTAAGGATGCCTTCCTCAATGTGGGCAAGGCATGTTTTTGACACTTCGATGAAAAGTGACCATGTGACAAACAATTTGAGTGAGTCATTCAACAACTAGGTTGGAGAGTTAAGGGAAAAACCTATACTAATCTTGCTAGAAAGTCTGAGGGCAAAACTCATAAATAGGTTTCAAAAAAGGTTTGAAAAGGCATGTACTTGACATAACTCTGTGACACCAAAAGTTGTGGAGAAGTTGAATGCCATCAAACATGAATCAAGAAAATGTACCCTCTTACTGGCTGGTCGTGATGACTTTCAAATCACAGATAGATTATTTGATTATGTAGTTGATATTGGTAAGAGGACTTGTGAATGTAGAGTTTGGGATATCAATAGCATACCTTGCAAACATGGTGTTGTCGGCATTGCATATAGGAGGCAAAACCTTTAAGATTTTTGTGATCCATGCTATTACAAGGATACATACCTCAAGGCTTACGATGAAATGATTCACTCCATTCCTGATGTCAAGTTATTGCTTCAGTTAGATGGTATCTTTCCATCTCAAGAAAAAAATAATTTATGGTTTGAGTGGGGTGTTATTAAGGTTGCGTTTGGTAATTTGTTGTTTCTGTTTTTAATTTTTGTCAAAAATAAAAAAAATAATGAATTTATGATGTGTTTTTGTTTTTTTAAGAACTCTTTTAAAAACAAGGTGAAAAAATGAAAACAAAAACAGAATTTTCATAAACACCCAAAAAACAAAATACCCGGCTTCGATTTTCCTTTGCAAAACCAAAAATGATTTTTCTTGCTTGAGTATAAACCTCCTACTTTCACTTCCTTTTTTACCGTCTCTTCTACCCTCTCTGTGCCTCTCTCTGTTTTTACTCTCTCTCTTGCCTTTCTCTGTTTCGACTCTCTCTCTTTCTCTCGCCTTTATTTGATATTTTTTTTTGTGGTAGGTGGTGGGTTCTCAGGGGTTGAGTGGTGGATTTTCAATGGATTGGGTAGTAGACATTTGGGGTGTTGATAGTGGATTTTCTGTGGTTGAGTAGTGGATTTTACAGGGGTGTTGGGGATGGGTGATGGGTTTTCGGTGGCTCGGTGATGATTTTTCTGTGGTTGAGTGGTGTATCTCCAATATTTTGAGGAGCAACATATTTGATATTTAAAAATTAATCAAAGCAACCACAATGAACTATGGAAATAATATAAATATTTCATTTTTGTTTTCATAATTTTTTTGAATATAAATAACTACCAAATATATTTTATATTTTTAGTTTTTACCACAAGCATAGAACTTATAAGAAGCTACCCATTGATGACTGGGAATTCTTCAGTGTTGGGTAAAGAATACTGGGTAAAGAAAAAGTCGATACTATGTCAAAAAGTGGTCATGTATAGAACTTCTAAGAAGCTACTTGTTGATGACGGTGAATTCTTGGGTACTGGATAAAGAAAAACGTGGATACTATATCCAAAAGTGCTCGGCCATGACAAAAAGGTAAAGGTAGAATGCAAAAAGAAAAATGTCGTTTGAATGGTTTTCAAAGAAAATTATAGTGACTCATAATTTCTTTTGCCATCAATCTAATTTGAAAGTTGAAAGTTTCACCACTAATAGTACCAATTTTACATCAGAAGATGGTAATTTCATTTTAAATTAATATTAAATTTCATCTATTTTATACTTATTTTGAACCATTTATTCAATTCATATTTAAATTCATCACTTTAAAATTTTATTTTATAAAATTGGCACTAAATTAACCTTCAATTTTATTCAATTAATATTTCAATTCATTTAGTTAATATCAAATTAATATTTAATTTTACCAAATTAATATTCGAGTTTACTTAATTTAAAATTTAATTTCGTCAATTTTTTGTCAATTTTATAATAAATTGACCTTTAATTTCATCAATTTAACATTAATTTCCACAAAATTAATATTTCATCAATTTAACCTTTAACATTAATTGAACATTTAATTGTTTTTGGTAACATTTAATTTCATCAATTTATATTTCAAACACAACAAAATGTCAAATGTCAATTTAATGTTAATTTGATGAATTTTAAATTTATAATTTTGAATGTTAATTTAATATAATTGAAGGTCAATTTAATGTTATTTTTTATGAATTCAGTGTTAGTTGGATAAAATTAAAAATTAATTTTATAAAATTATATGTCAATTTAATGTAACTGAATATAGGATCGGGACCAATTAAAAAAAAAATCCAAAAAAAAAGTTCCACTAGTCATGATTGATCCTATAATTGGAACTTCCAAGAATTTAGTTTGAAGAATTAGTTAGAGGTTAGGTTACAACCTTTTGATACGAGGTTATAACTATTTTGTAATAAAAAATTACCATCTTTTGATGTGAAGTTATAATTATTTATAGAAAGCCATGCATTTTCTTTAAGTTGCGAGCCTAAAGAACTTTTCACACTTTCTAAAGTTTTTACTCGCGTAACCATAACACTTATACCATTGTCATTAATGTCTATTAACATATTCGTTAATAAATTACATTAAGATCCTTTGAAATTTAATTATATGTAATATTTAAATTTTTTAAGTTTAAAATAAAAGAAATTTACTTGTGACACGTTCTCAGTGAATGCAAAAAAACACACAAAAGGCATGGTAGAGATGAAGCCTTCAACATTTGGATGAGCTGGTTTTCCCACAAAATCCAAATGCACTCGACGGAGAAGAAAAACTCTCAACACCTCTCTACTTTCTCATTTGGAGTTGATTATAATACCCATTTTTTTTTACCATAACGCTATGTATTACATTTTACCACAATATTGATAAAAAAAATCAGAAATGTAATAAAAACACTCACAAATGTGATAAATCACTCACAAAAGTGTAATTTTCTTGTACCTAAGAAAACTGATAAAAATAGTTATCACAAATGTGAAAATAACACACACGACAGGGGTAAAAATATTTACAAAAATGGTAATTTTTTTTATTTTAAAATAACTCATAAAAAATATAAAAATACCTGTTAAAAAAATAAAAGTTGGAGGTATGGTAATTTTTTTCCACCGGTACCTTAGGCAAGTCCTTCTCATTTCTTTCACTGTCAATCAAACACATTGATATGTCTAGTCGTTTGGTGTAGGTGTGACCTTACCATAGCTAAAGGCCAATTTTTTGGTTATTAAGACTTTACTTTATTCTGATTGGATAACTAAAATTGCTTTTGAAAAATTGAAGAAGTTGGATGATTTCAAATGTCACAGACTCACATAGATAGTTGTTTACTGTTGTTTGATACTCGTTCGTGGGTCCACTTTACTTTTTATATCCATGCTTTGTTTGATGTGGAGATAGGAAATATTCTAAAGGAGTACGATGTCTTGACTAGGGAGCCATGTTATCGTCAAGCTTGGTATCCAAAATCAGTGACCACTTACCTTTGTGGTCCTATATAAAGCCCTGTTATCGTCAAGCTTGGTATCCAAAATCAGTGAGCAAAGATAGACATACAAGTGAGGTTTTCAGTTATGGAGAATCAAGGGCAAGACAATTACACTGCACCAGCTGAGATCTCAATGCCCCTGGAGATGGAGAGTCAAGGGCAAGGTGATCCCATTGGAGTTGTGACCTCGATGGCACTGGAGATGTTGATGAGCGATCATATTACTTGCGAGAAAAATGTAAGTGGTGGCATGCAAAAGCCAAGCGGCCGGAAATTTCCTAAGGATTTTGTGTTTGGGACGGCAACATCTGCTTATCAGGTAAATCATGCCTCTATTGTGTGAAATTTTTTGAAAGTAAGTGTTTGTCATGATTTAAACAGACTGTCCATGGGTCATAAAATATCGATTTTCAATGTCCAAAGTTGAGAAAATAGAAAACAAATTACTATGGTTGAAGCTATAATGGGGGAAATGTGATATAGTTGAATGAGGAGGCAAAGTGAGACCAATAATCATATATGGTTGGGGGTGCAACGTAAGTGGCATACTAATTCATGGGTAATTTGAGATAGGGGCTCAGTTAAGGAGGCTAAAGTGTAATTATTCTTGTTCAAACACCACAGTGATATGTAGAATGAGTAATGCCATTAGAACCTCAAATTTCACCTAATTTATTGACTTAAAGATGTGACTTCATTATAACTGTTGAATTAACATCAAGTTTCATTGTTTAATAGGATCTACCGCCAATTTAACGATTATAGTGAATTATGTCAATAAATTAAATCAATAAATTAGATCTCAAGAACATTGCTCATGCAGAAACACAATGCAGAAGTGCTTATGTTCCTTCTTTCTTTTTGGATTTTTCCTCCTCGTTAGATTGAAGGTGCAGCAAAGGACCATCTATCTGGGATACTTTCACGGAGAGATATCCTGGTCTCTCTCTCTCTCTCTCCCCCCCCCCCCCCCCCCCCACACACACTATTAGTATAATTCTTTGAAGGGCTTTATATTTAGTAACTACAATGATTAAATAACCTCATAAATCTCTCTTATCGTTTTAAACCTTTCTATTTATAACCTTTTTTTTTTTTCTATATTCCTGTAAATAAGAACAGACATATAATACTTAGCTCCCCAAAAAATATGATATTTGACAAAAATTTCTTTTGCAATGACAGGTAAGGTGAAAGATGGTAGTAATGGGTATGTGGCGGCTGATTCTTATCATCTATTCAAGGTATGGTGGAGAGAAAAATTCAATTTGTACTAAGCATTTGAGAAATAATTACAATTTTTTTTTTGGATTTCTATTCCTCAATTATTTTGTAGGAAGACGCGAAAATCATGAAGAAAATTGGACTAAAAGCGTACAGATTTTCAATTTCGTGGTCTAGAATGTTGCCAAGTAAGTATACCAACTGATACTGGGCATGCAACTCGTACGTGCCAACTAGAACCTAATCTAAGATTTATGTAATTGGAGATTCGATATATACTGGAGAACATAATCTCTAATCCTAGGAAATAAAATTGGGGGAAGCTAAAATAAATCATACATTCATAGCATTTAGTCAAGCCATCATAATTATTCGGGACAGATTTAGGATACAATAAATTTGTTGTGATAATCAAGCAGTTGATACTATAGTTTGATTTTTTCTATTTGATTTTTTTTTCTTTGTTTGCCCTTGTTTAATTCATTTGATGATTTATATTTTCTTCCCACTATTAACAGATGGAAAACTAAGTGGAGGTGTGAATAAGGAAGGAATCAAGTACTATAACAACCTCATAGACGAGCTTCTCGCCAATGGTTACAATTTAGTTTAGCATGACTCTTTCGTTGTCAATTGAGAAGATATATATACATGTTCTCTCAAGTTTTAACTACATTTATCATCCATGCACAGGTATAGAGCCCTTTGTAACCCTTTTCCACTGTGATCTTCCTCAATCTTTACAAGATGAGTATGGTGGTTTCATAAGTGCCGAAATTGTGTAAGTAACTCAGTTTCAATTTTATGATCCGTAGTTTTCCTATCCATTGACGACATTTTACGTGGTAACAAGATTTGTTCACATTGATCCATTCATGGAACTTGTTCTAAGCCTAATAATGCACTTTCATTCATTGCCATCAAGTAAGAATTTAATATGTATGTGAATCTGTTTCTTTTGTATAGTTTAGTCGAAATAACTGATGATCCAAGTTTAGGGTTGTTAATTAAAACACCTTGAAACCATGAAGTTCTCTTAACTATAAGAAACCATGTCGATCGTCGAGGGTTTGTTGGAAGTAGAGAGCAAATCATATTCACTAAGCCAAAAATTCAATAGCCAGTACGCCATTAGTGGTCAGTTATTAGAGTTGAATAATAAGTTGGGGGCGTGGAAGGCATAGCCCGTGGTACGGTATGGGAATATTTAAAATTTTCAATGATGCATAAATATTATGAGGATTGGGTATATCACTTATGTTGGAATTTGGGTCAAGTGATTAACCAAAATTAAGAGCTTTCAACTGGTACCTCTAAGTACGCTGTAGCTCAGTTGCATTCTGATATAGTGCAATAACCTATCCCGTCGATTGCTTTCCTTTCTTAATTGTTCACTGAACCACCCAAACTCATGTTACAAATTGTGATTGCTTTCCTTTCTTGATTGTTCACTGCACTGCATGTCCACAACAGGGTTGATTTCTGCAATTACGCGGAGCTTTGTTTTTGGGAATTTGGTGATCGAGTCAAGCACTGGATAACGTTAAATGAGCCAGTGATTTACAGCATGTTCGGTTATGCTTTGGGTACCTTCCCACCAGGTCGAGGCCATTCTTCGCCAGAAAATGTAAAACTTGCCCTCACTTCTCGCTGATTTCGTTATCACCAGAAAGATTCTTCCCAGGATGGGGATGCAGGGAAAGAACCATATTTGGTTTCACACAACCTACTCCTTGTCCATGTTGCTATATATGCTTTCAATTTCAAAATAATCCTTTAATTGTCAATTTTCTCAATTTAGTCTTTAAATATTGCATCTTTTATTTGTATGGAAGGTTTATAAAGCCTATAACAACAGGTCAATATCCGGAAACTATGAAAGAAAATGTGGGTTCTCGTCTCCAAGAAGTTGAAGGGATCATATGATTTTGTAGGACTAAATTACTACACTGCTTCGTACGTACGTAACCAGTGCAACTGATCCAAAAGATGGGCGTTTAAGTTATGTCACAGATTCACATGTTAGATATACATGTAAGTTTACAATAATGAACTTGGTCAAAAATAAAAATCCAAATAGCATCATTTAATATTGGAATGAACTTTTATTTCGGCGTTATACTAAAATTACCACCATGTTTTGTTTTGCTAGGTGAGAGAGATGGGGTACCCATCGGTCCACAGGTAAGACTTTGACATTCAAGTAGGTGTCAATAGTGTTTTCTTATCAACTAGTTGTCATTAGTGTTTTCTCAGCATGATTTTTATCAAAGCTATAGAGTACTGTCTCTGCTTCCATCACGTTTGGAAAAGATAATGTCATGATAGGGAAGCCAATTGAGCCAAGTTTCACACTATGCTTACATTAAATTTAGATACAGCTGCTCATGATCATTTGGCTGCAGATCAGTTGTTAAGCATGTATTCAATTCTTATGTACATAATTTTATATCTTTTCTTATGATTGCAGGGTGGTTCTGGTTGGCTTTATGCTTGTCCAAAAGGGATTTATAAGATTTTGGTTCATATAAAGGAAAATTATGATGATCCACTTATTTACGTTACAGAGAATGGTAATTAATTAATTTATTCTTCTTTTTCTTATCGATATTCAATGTCACTATTTTATTTAAAGAAACAAAAATCTAATTTTGTGATAATTCGATCCTAATTTCTTATTAAATATGCTTCGGTGTTTCGCAGGTTTTGATGAAGCAACTAATCCCAACTTAACACTTTCAGAAGCCCGTGTGGATAAGATGAGGATCGAATACCTCCAAGACCATCTTCATTACATAAAAAATGCAATTGATATGTATGTTTTTTTGTCTAAGTCATATAGTGTCGGTATGAAAATTTACTCAAAACACCCCTGAACCATTTATAATGATAAATGTCGGGCTTATGTTGTGTAAAAATTATATTTAGCCACGTACGTATCTTGTTGAGTCGGGCTCATATATTGACCTGTTATAAACAAACTTGATTAGTCAAATCATTTATTACTCGAACTTGTCAGGGTTTAAGTCTTACCTAGTTATTTAGTGTCTATTTTGTGTCAATTGTTGAATCATGTATAAACATGTCCTTCCTAATTAATATTGTTACGACAAATCTTATTAATACAACATTTGAACTGTTGTGATCGTGCAGCAATTATGGTGAATAATAAGGAATCCAACAATTAAGAAAGTAAGAGAAAATAACACACAGAGATTCACGAAAGCGAACGGCCGTTCTTTTTCATTATTAAAAGTAGGGTTACATTTTAAATATTTATATAACCCTAATACGGACGTATTTACAAAAATACCCCTGTACCGTACCGCGCCCCAACTAATTAGCGTCCCATTTATACAAATCCCGCACGGTAGATGCCGTCACGGGCTCCGCTCCGGCATTTGTCTCATTGTCATTGTGCATACAACAAATATGAGCCACACATACTTTAATAATCTCCACCCTGGGCAAATATTCACCCCTTAGGAAAAAAGAGAGGACATGTATTCGAAAACTCCACCGGAGACGCTAAATTGAAACATCTCCCATCTAGCAACTAGAGACATTAATCAAGTCCAAGCAATGCTTGAACTTGTCTGTAGTAACATGCTTTGTCAACATGTCTGCTGTATTCTCAGAAGTGTGAACTTTCTCAAGTAATAGTTCACCAGAAGAAAGCAGTTCCCTAATCTTATGAAACCTCACATCTATATACTTGGTCCTCGCATGATACACCTGGTTCTTTGCCAAATAAATGACACTCTGACTGTTACAATACAACTGAACTCCACCTTGCTGGCCACCCAGCTCCTTGACTAAACCTGTAAGCCACAAAGCTCCTTGGCAATTTCAACTACTGCCATGTACTCTTACTCAGTAGTAGATAGTGCAACTATAGGCTGTACCATGGACTTCCAACAAATAGGTCATCCCACAAGAGTAAACACATAACCTGTGGTAGACCTCCTGTCATCCAAGTCCCCTGCATAGTCTGCATCCACATATCCCATAACTGAAGGGTCACTCTGTTGTCTGCTAAACATGATGCCATAGTCTGTAGTGCCCCTCAAGTATCTGAAAATCCACTTGACTGCATCCCAATGTTGTCGATCCGAATTTGAATGAAACTTGCTAACCACGTTGACAGTTTGTGTCAAATCTGGTCTTGTACAAACCATAGCATACATCAAACACCCCACTGCACTAGCATATGGGACCTTTGACATGTCATGAACTTCATCATCTGTCTTCGGGCATTGAGCGATAGACAATCTGAAATGATTCGCCAAAGGTGTACTTACTAGTTTTGTATAACTCATGTTGAACCTGTCCAACACCTTCTCAACATAGCTATGTTGAGATAGCCATAATCTCCTGGAACTTCTGTCCCTGCGAATCTCTATCCCAAGAATCTTCTTAGCTGCACCCAAATCGTTCATGTCAAATTCTTTGCTCAACAAAGTCTTCAACTTGTTGACCTCACTCATACTCTTGGCAGCAATCAACATATCATCCACATAAAGTAACAGAAAAATAAATGAATCATCATCAAGGCTTTTCATATAGACACAGCAATCATACTCATACCTTTTGTAGCCAATCCGGATCATGTAAGAGTCAAATCGCTTGTACCACTGCCTCGGAGACTGCTTCAGCCCATAAAGTGATTTCTTCAAATTACAAACCAAATGTTCCTCTCTAGGGAGACCGAACTCTTCTGGCTATACCATGTAAATCCGTTCCTCCAAGTCGTCATGAAGGAAAGCTGTCTTTACATCCATCTGCTCCAACTGCATATCTGAATGTGCTACTAGTGCCAACACTGTCCTAATGGAAGTGTGTCTGACCACGGGGGAGAAGATCTCATCATAGTCAACCCCTTTTCTCTATGAGTAACCCTTTGTTACTAGACGAGCCTTGAATTTTTTCCCCTCCTTTTCTGATATTGCTTCTTTCTTCTTATACACCCATTTGCACCCTATTGCTCTCTTCCCTTCGGGAAGCTCCACCAACTCCCACATCTGGTTCTTATGCAAAAACTCCATCTCCTCCACCATAGCACCCATCCATCTACTTTTCTATTGACTTTGTAATGCCTCCTAAAAAGTTGTAGGATCACCGTTACTAGTAATAAGCACATAAGAAACCAAATCTTCAAAACCATACCTAGTAGGCGGCTTGATATTGCGTTTGGGCCTGTCTGTGGCTATACTATGATGTTGCTGATCACCTGAGATAGAACACTCTACATGCTGAGCATCCTCTTCTCTACCATGATTCTCTATCTCCACCTGCACCACATGCTCATTAGTGCTACAGTTTTCTGGTACTTGTTTCTCTTCTTCCTGAGTACGCTGCAACATGGCTTTTTCATCAAAAATCACATCTCTACTGATCACCATCTCTTTGCCTTCGGATCCCAGAGCTTGAAGCCTTTCACTCTTTTCTGATATCCCAGAAAGATACACTGTCTAGACTTCGCAACAAGCTTCGACCTCTCCTCACTAGAAACATGTACATAGGCTGGACATCCAAACACTCTCAAACCAGAGTAGTCTACCTCACTGCCTGTCCATACCTCTTCTGATACTTTCTCATCTAGTGCTGCCCTCGGTGATCTGTTAATCAAGAAACATGTCATATTCACTGCCTCTGCCCAGAAATTCTTTGCAAGTCTTGCATTCAACCCGAGACACCGAGCTTTCTCGGCTATCGTTCTATTTATCCTTTCCGCTACACCATTTTGTTGTGGTGTCTTGCGGACTGTGAAGTGTCTCTTGATCCCATGCTGCTCACACAACTCCCGGAACTTTGAATCTGTGTACTCAGTACCATTATCTGACTTGAGGCATTTAACCTTCCTCCCTGTTTGGTTCTCTACTTCAGCTTTCCACATCTTGAACTTGGCAAACGTTTTAGACTTGTGCCGCATGAAGTACACCTAGACCGTTCGTGAGTAATTATCAATGAAACTCACGAAATACATGTATCTTCCCCGTGATACTACGCTAACTGGTCCCCAAACATCTATATGGACATAGTCGAGAACCCTCTCTGTTTTATGTGTGGCTGTCTTGAACTGCACCCTATTCTGTTTTCTAAGAACACAATATTTGCAAAAATTGAGCTTGCATGTCTTGACACCTTTCAATAGATTTTTCTTATAAAGCTCTATCATCCCACGCTCACTCATATGACCCAGCCGTATATACCACAAGACTGTATTATCTGATTCAGACTCTACAACAGCAACTCCACCTACAATTGTAGTACCCAGCAGTCTGTAAATGTTTCTTGCTACTTTCTGTCCCTTCATCACTGTCAGCATGCCTTTACTCACTTTCATTACTCCACTTATAGATTTATAACTATAACCATTACAATCCAAAGTGCCCAATGAAATCAAATTCTTCCTTAGATCCGGTACATGTCTAACATCACACAACGTTCTAACCATACCATCAAACATCTTAATTCTAATATTTCATATTCCAACAACTTTGCAAGATGCATCATTACCCATCAGAACAGAACCAGAATTTACTGACCCGTAGGTGTCAAACCAATCTTTGTTGGGTGTCATGTGATAGGAATATGTTGAATCCATAATCCAAGAATCTGTTAAACGATCTGAACTGGATAAAACAGAAAGCA